GTGTAGTTTCTTGAAGCGAAATATTCAAGTATTTTTGTTGCCAAAGAGCTTAAGAAAACAACCGAATCAAATCAATAGTTTTGTAATAATTTTTGTTTTCCATGCATTTTAAATAGTGTTCTAGGAACTGAATTTTCATATTTCTTTAAAACTGCCAATCTGTGGGCATTACTCTTTAGCATACAACAACTCTATTCTATATTAAAAAAAGTGTCTGTATAACCAGAGCACGGAATAACTCTACATTAAATTTGTGTCTGTTTGACATAAGTACGTAATAATTATATATGGAATGCAATAAGAGAGTAACTCGAACCTTAATTTTGTTTGCAATGGGATTATGATTATTCAATAAAGATGGAAGCGCGCGCGGTGCCGGTAACATGAAACTGAAGCAAAATGACACGAACAAACTCGGGAATATATCCTCCGTATATAGGGATAGGACATGTTTTTATGATATAAGCGGAAACATACAAGTATTATTTACTATATCTATATATGTATATTAAATACTATCTTGTTGTGATACCTACCAGATATGACCCAAACCACCTCGGAACTGCACTAGAAATTTCAAAACTGCAACGTAGTCTTGTTAAAAGCCATTGTGTTCTGCTCAATCAAACATTGTTACATTTTTTCACCAATAGCTTTGTACTCTTATGTAAGAACTTGCAAAAAAGCCGTTTTGGTAGAATGGTACTGTTTGAATCCAGATTTAAATTTCGGCATTAAATTGTCATTTTTCAACTAACTGAGTGTGTTTGCCTGGCAACCACACGTTTGATAATTTTGGACAGGAAAGAAAAATTTGAAATTGATCTGTAATTCCCAACATCATTTTCATCCAGATTATGTTTCTTCACCAGAGGAGTTAAGAGAGCATGTTTGCAGGGCAGAGGGATACATGTATGTATATGTGTATGTGTGTATGTATGTGTGTATGTATGTATGCATGTGCATGGGTATGTGTGTGTGTGTGTGTTTGTGTGTGGTGTGTGTGGTATTTTATATATACACATGATTAGGTTTTACTTTATCGGTTGCATGTAAAATTGAAATTGTTCAATATGGCGGGAAGGAATGAATGGATGGGTGGATAGATATGAATGGATGAGAAATAGGTATATCGATATTCACAGGAACATGTGCCACAGTGCACGTGCACCGGGTTAGGCGCATTCTTCGAAGCAAGCAATAATTTGGTTTTTCACCATTCCGTCTGATGATGTTTGAAATAAGACGATGAAAGAACAAATAAATGTGCATACTAAAATTACCTCACACAAAAACACATAGTCATAACTCATACAAGCAATCACTTAAAAATAAATGGATGTGATAGACCCAGGGTATTTTACAGGTATAATTTATCATTCAATTCATTTTCAATGAGTGCGTAAACACATAAACCGGTAAACACACACGTGAGTGCACAAATAAAGAAACTATAATAATAATAATAATTATTATTATTATTATTATTAACCACGTTATCTCATTTAATCAAAATCGTTTTCCAGACATACACTGAAACGGCGTCACGACAACTTATTTTCAGCTGAGAATCTCTCGTAATAAAGAATATGAATAAGTAGCCCCAAACACGTATAAATATTTAATGTAAAAATAGTTACACGTACACACACAAACACACAAACACACACACACGCACACACACATACATACAGACACACACACACCCCCACACACATACAGACACACACGCACACAGACAAATACACAAACGCATAGGCACGAGATTACTTATTTATACATCATTATGCAGCAGGCACGTGAGATGGTATGAGAAAGAGGCAAGTAAAGATTATACTGAGTTAATGATGTTACGAGGTGCCCGTATTGAGACATGCGATTATAACTGGATCACTTCTTATCGATGTACCCAACGAAATGAGTTGCTGGCACGCAGAACGCCAATACATTTTCCCATGCAGTTTCATCGCATATCTTCTAGGCAGTTTCATCTTATATCTTCAAGACAGTTTCATCTTATATCTTCTAGACAGTTTCATATCGTCTCGTGTTATATCTAAATAGACGCGGCAACGTAACCTACGTGTTTGGTATAAAATTTCATGAAATATCTTCAGTTATGTTATTTCATTAATTGAAGAACAATTTTTTCTCAGATGATTTGTTTACTGATGTTAGTAACAGGTAAAATTAAAATTAAAAGATTCGCCCTAGCAGTGGCTATAAAATGGAAATAAGAAAATTCACTTATCGGAACACTGATCAGTTAATAAACGATAGTTGAAATCCTGGTTGGAGTCAGTTGAATGAATAAACAAACAAAACTTCTTAACCTGTTTTTTTTTCAGTAATTTTAGCTTTGTGAAGGAAATGCAGATGCAAAAAATCACAACAGATGTGCGTTACTCAAATTTTACAAGAAAAAAAATGAAAGAAACACTTACTCTTGAACATAATGTAAGAAAAAGTGATTGTCTTTCATAAAAAAATTTATTTAACTTAGAACGTCTTTGTTTGTTGTCAAAGTTAATATTACACCTACCAATGTCAAAAAATGTTCACCAGTCACGTTAACATATGTGAGTGGATGAACATGTGTCGGTGGTTGAAAAAAACTTAGGTTGATGGGTGATGAACATGTGTCTCACAAAATTTATGGTTAATATTGCCTTGCCATCATAAAAGTATATGCCTTTTATTGGTTTGCTTCAAATTAAAAATGTTTAAACAGCATCTTAAAATTAGGATATTTCATGTACAAGCAACTAAAAGCGCAATGTAAAAATTAAATTTTAAACCCAGTCATGGTTGCAAATACTTTGTTTAAGTTAACCAGCGCGAATACAAAAGGTATTTTTAGGTACAAACAAGTTGGTATCGAATCACGAGATTTGCGATTACAAAACATTCACAGGCCTGTCAATTTATCTTAGACATTTAAAAAAAAGTTTATTAAGAAAAAACATGAGCAAAGTCTGCAAAAAAGTGTTGTTTTTATGCTTTTTTATTACATGCTTTTTTAGCTTGTCGATTCGATATTTGATGAAAATTGTGTGTGAATTGAAAGAAAGAGAAGAAAGATATCTGTAAGAAAGATAGAAGATGAGAGGAATCAGGTTTGTGACATGTTAAAAAAAGACATACAACTGAAACTATCAACTCAGTGTTACTCAGTGTTACTTTGTTACCTTACTTTTTTAACTCTCAACTCAGTGTTGAGAGTTTTATTAAATTTTATAATTTTATAATATTATATTTTTATTAAATTTATAATTTATAGCGAATTATGAATAAAACAAACGTGTGTAGTATATGCTTGGTTGGTGTGTGTGTGTGTGTGTGTGTGTGTACATGGTACATGTTTATGTGTGAATGAATGTTTGTGGAAATAAGGATGTGTGAATGGATGCGTGGAAATATATGGATGTTGGAATGAAGAAGATGATGGAAAAGAAAAAATAAAAATGTTTGAAGATTTGAACTATTGATTGCAAGCCACCCACTCCTCCATTTATTCAATCTTCATACTCGGAAAAGTGAGAGAGCGAGCTTCAGAACATATTGAACGAGGTAGTCGTTGCACCGAACTGCTTGTTTTGGTTGTTGTTACTTTGTTGTGTTGTTGTTTTGTTCTTTGCGTTGTTGTTGTTGTGTTGTATTTTGTTATTTTTATGCGTTGTTGTTATTTAATTATGGATACTGTTTTTTTCAATTTCCTATTTACTTGTTTGCCGATTTTTATCATCATTTCATGTTTTTGTTGCCACTGGTTTTGCTATGTAGCGTCTATTGTTGTTTGCTTCTTCCAGGTCGTTGTCGATTGCACAGCTTTCTTAAATATCGTTTTTAAATTTGTTGTTACTACATTCGCTCTGATCCCCGATGTTTTCCATGTTGTTGTTGCTGCTGTTGTTGTTGTTGTTATTGTTGTTGTTGATGTTGTTGTTGTTATTGTTGGTGGGTTTGAAGTTTTTTGTTTTCACTATATTTATTATTAATTTTATTAAATTTGTCATTAAATTTTCTGTTGTTATTGCTACTATTACATTTTTCCTGGTTGTTATTGTTATTTTTGTGTTGTTTATTATTGTTATTGTTGATGCATCTGCAAAGTGACCTCGGGCTGGCGCGTTATTTATAGCTTTTCAGAAATTTAGATTTCCCACAGCTGAAATAAATTCAATTTATAACATTCTGTATCGGCTTATGTTTAATGCTGTTAGATCTTTATAATTATATAGACATCATCATCATTGTCATCATCATCATCATCATCATTGTCATCATCATCATCATCATCGTCATCGTCGTCCTCACCGTCATCATCGTTAATAGTAGCAGCAACGAAATGTTTTGTTGTTTTGTTGTAACTCACATATACATCGACTTACCATCATAGCATGTTTTTGCCAGAATTTTTGTTATCATGTTGTAATGGGCGCTATAAAAATGCTTAAGCTTTTAAGAATAGTTACATAATTAAATTATACACACAACGTGTGCGTGCGTGTGTGTATGTGTGTGCGCGCGCGCGCGCGCGTGTGTGAAGAAAATATAGATCTATATGTGGTTTGGCATGTTCGCATGAACGCACCAATGAACATCGCTTTTCATACTCCTGTTACTTCCATTAAACAAAACTTCAGCTTGATGTACAAATTTTCTTATATGATTATACGGTCGAATATTGATATTTGATTTATAAATAAAAATAAATACAGAAACACACACACGCGCGCGCACACACACAAACACAAATATATATATATATACGCATACATATTCTATTCACTTATGTATAATAAAAATATATGTATATTCATATTGTTTTAAATTAGTTTGATTGCCTATGCATAACGCATGCTAATCTTGTTACATTAGTATTAGATGGATGGTTGGATTATGCATTATGGAAAGAAATAGTTGTAAGGTTGTATGGCATGTGCTCAAGCAAATATAAAAATGATTGTTGCCTTGTTTGCATGCATTCAACTCCATCAGTATTGCATACATGATGATTTCGCGAATATTTTTGAAACAATTTCACTTTAACAACATCGTGAATATTAATATTTGTGTTTTATTTCGTACGAATACTCGCATATGATATTTTGTCGAGATGGGCGTTATTGGCATGGTTCGCTTTATGCTGTTTGCAATTTTGTTCTGCTGTGTCAAAAAAATTTCCTTGGTTAGCAGTTTCAGAAACAAACACATGAACGGGAAAACGGAATACAATTTAAATCTGATGTCTGCAATGAATGATAACTCGGCGAGGTTTCATACAAAGTTTCGTTGTTTGTTGTATATAAACAACAACAATATCATCGCAAGCGGCAACAACGACGTCAAAAACAATTTTAACAACGTCAACAACAACATCAACAAAAACACCGACAACGAATGCATGCTTTCATGTGAGTCAACATTAACTGCTCAACAAACTTCAAACAAGAAGGAAAACCACTCAACATGTAGCCAGCACATTTCAAAACTTAATCATCTAAAAATATCAAATCTTTTAACAAAACAAATCAGTATTGAAAGTTTCATGAAAGAAATTTTTCTGTCGAAGCAAGTGGAAGCCTTGGACGTGGGAAGTGAACGGCAGTTCAACATTACCTCCGTACAACTTTTAGACTTGTCAGATAATAACGTAGAAACCGTAGCAAATGATGATTTGCATAACTTTACTAATTTGATATTTTTAAATTTTTCCAACAACAACTTAAAATTTTTAGAACAGAAATGTTTTGATAACTTGATTTATTTGAATTATTTGGACCTATCAAAGAATCGTCTTTACAGTCTACCAGAAGATTTATTTTCGAATCTGTTGAACCTAATCATGTTAAATTTGAGCTCTAATGAATTAAATAATTTTTCGTTTTCTCGTTTGCTATCAAGTAAAAAACTGAAACGCTTAGACCTTAGCAGTAACAACTTGACAAGATTAGAACCAAATAAGTCAACAGAGACGATTAATATTGAACATTTAAACTTAAGCCACAACAGACTTCAGACAATACCGCCAATCATATCGACATCGTTGAAACAACTCAAAAAATTATTTCTCAATGACAACCCGATTGAAGAAATATCAAAGCATTCATTTCTCTCCCTTGCAAACCTACTCGAAGTTGAACTAACGAACATGAGGCATTTGAGGTCAGTCGAGGATGAATCGTTTAGAAATTTATCGAAGCTTCAAGTGCTGAACATAAGTTTCAACCCTCACCTCAACTACTTCGACGGCAACAGTGTGATGCATTCTCCGAATCTTGCACGAATTGATTTGCAACAGAATGATCTTCATTTTCTATCTGCAAATATCGTCAGTGCTCTTCCAAGCCTACAAGTATGTTTTTTTTATTTTAATGTGCATTTTTTATATCAATGAAATCGTATATATTTCTTACAACTTGTTCATTCTTTAAAATTCACGAAGTAGCATCATATATTAATCGGTATCCATAGAACCTTCATTTTTTAACTTTCTACTCGTCATATTGACAAACATTCAAATCATCGTAGTTAACAAAACTAAATTTGTTGGTATAAAAATAAACTAATAAGATAAGCGTACAGAGAAAGGCTATCATTAATAATAAAGTTATTATCACCAATGTTCTTATTTACAATTGCTTTGTTATCATAAAACAAGTTATAAAAATGTCCAGCATTTTTTGTGACGCCACTGCACAACCTGTTTTGGCTATTTTATTAAAAAAAAATACTTTCTATTTAATTTACGAAATATTCGCAATTTTTTTCTGAAATGTTCATTCACATCGTACATACGGTTCATTTGTGTATTAATCGATACTTTACATGTACGTATGTGGATGTGGATGTTTTCATCGGTCTTCAATATTTTACTATTATTTTGTAGTCATATTATCATTATTATCATTACTACTATGTTGTTATTATTATTACTATGTTATTATTATTATTATTATGTTATTATTAATTATTGTTGCGAGGGAATTTTTTCCGATGATGTGTTACTGCAACGATCTCAAAAGCGATATAAATAAACGGATACACACTAAAAAAAATACAAGTTTTGCGAGATTGCACATATGTAGGATGTCTATTCGTATTAATAAATAAATGAAAATCTATAACATATATGGGTTGTATTTGTGCAGAAGTTTGTTAATATTGTGAGATGAGGAACTGTAATGAAGCTAATTTGGAGAACATCAGTAATTGCAAATATTCATCTGAACAAACAATGTTTTTAGTATGTTTTTTTGAATGTTTTCTTCAAATGCAAAAACTAATTATTTGTATAATTTAGGTGATATAACAAATTAGAGACTAGTACAAATATTCTTATTTTAGTAAAAAAATTTCTTCCCTCATAGAATACAAATTGAAAAAACTAAGCTAATATATCACAGCCATCTGCTTAACACGTTTTTGGGTTTCTAATCATTTTAAGTCGTCGTTTAAAGGCGAATCTGTAGTTTACATGAATCAACAAAAGATGAAGATTTTACATTTTAATGCAGATGTTTATCGTTGCTTGAAATAAAAATTGTTAACTTTTCATTCAGTCAGCTGTATTTTTATCAACATATGGTTTCATACTTTAGTATTTTGTAAAAGAATTTTTTCAAAAATATGTTAAAAAATGGTGACGATGATGATGTTAGAGTACAAACATCGTTCAGATATGACAGATTGATTGAAAATGTAACAAACGTTCACATATTTGCATTTGGAAGAATATCAAACAGAGCAGAATGTATAAGTAACGCGCATACATATTTATGGCGACCTCTTGTCATCAATTTGTTTCAGCCATCATTTATCATTGTGTTTTTCATGAATAAAATTTACTCGCATTCACTTTTTTTTGGGGACATTAGAATGTAATTAAATGTGAATTTATGACTGGCGATAATGAAAATTTTGCGTAGTATGTACTAGAACCATTAAGTATAAATAAAACTTTTTAACGATTAAATATAAATACATAATTTTACGAAAAGACAATCAACCTGTCTGGCAATCCCATACTGAAAAGCTGCAACAACCGATGGATAGTCAGTTGTCACCAATGCTATCTGGACCAGCTTGTCCACGACAATCTGCAACAACCTGCTTACAACGTTAATAACGATAGTAGTAGTAATAATAAAAGTATTAACACCAGCAGTAAGAATCTTTACAACAATTTAAATGGAACTAGAATTTGTCAGCCGGATATAATTCCTTTGTACGAGAAATATTTCCATTTAGCCGTCGGTGATCCATTAAGGTTGAAGTGTAGAAGCGTTTCATTTGAAGCTGTGAATGTCTTTTGGTCGTTCATAGGCTTGGGAAGCAGGTACCACATGCACCACGACCACAGCGAGCTGGACGACCTGCACGTTGAACAGAACAAGAGCACAATATCAGTGGACCACGTTGCTTTCTACCATGCTGGCTTGTACATCTGTAACGCGCAAACCAAATTTGGTTAGACATTTTTTGCGACCTGCTAGAAATAAATGCATTCAAATCTTTCTCTCTAGGGTTTGGTTTTTTTTTCATTAAATTCTTGTTACATATCTCAATATTTCTCTCGTTTGTACGATTTATATTTTGTTTATGTTTAAAAAATTTATTTAAAAACGTGTATATAAGCAAACAATGTTATACTAATTTTAACATTCTTTCAAGGTAAGCAAACCTCCAATGTAACGGTTCGCATCTACAATCCAAACGCATCCATCTACTTCACATCATACAGCAGAACGTCTGTAACTGTCGAATGGGCGGGTACGGAAACAACGATGAAGACAACAGAGTATTATATCAGTTGTAGACGCCTCATTGATCCACACCTTCTGTTTCAACCGATCCATCAACATGACAAAAACTCACTTGAAGCATCCTTCTGGTTAGCTGCAAACGAAACTTCAGTTCACCCGACGTTGTTTCACCATCCCACCTACCAACACAGAATGCCGCCTTTCACAAACGGAGAAGCGGCTTCTTTGTCTTTCATAAAAATTAAAATCGGTCCCTTCATGAGAAGAAATACTTTCAATGGTCTTTCACCACTGACGCCTTATGAAATTTGTCTATATGTTTCAAACAGCACTGACAGACGATTTTCAAACAATCAAAATGAAAAGTTTTCAGCAAACGCCAACCATTATTTCAAATCATCAAATGACAACTTTTATTCGTACGACAGTGAGGAAACGTTAATAATTCTGTCTTGTTTTAATTTCACAACACTGGATCAATCGACCGGCGGTTACGAATACGAACCAGGCATTCGAAGGTTGCCCATCTTGCAAATTCTTCTGGGCACATTTGGATGCCTGGCTTTCTTAATAATTTTTTATGCCATTTGCAACTCTTTACTAACCACATATTGCAGTCGGTTAGTTGGTAGTGCGAGAAGCAACAAACAAAACATAAACAACGTCTACAGGCTAATAACACGCCGCTCCGAACGTCGTAACAGTTTGACGCTCGTCCCGGTCGAAACAACTTTCATCGAGAATTCAAGGGCCTCATCTAGAACCTCCCTTATAAGTTGACTGTTTCGAAAATATTTTTAATTCCTGTACATAGTGGTTCATATTTTAAATTATTTTAATATAGTTCAAGTTATAAATATATTTATCGAAATTGTTGTTGTTGAGATAATAATAAATTGCAAACTTTCAACTACTAAAAATTTTGACTTAAAGAATTTCGCATAGTAAAAACAAAAAGTGCACGATTTATATTTGACAAAGAATCAGTTTCAATTTGAACTAATTAATTTAAGGTTGAAATTCAAAAAAATAGACTCCACATCAGACAAAAACAAAAACATCGTCAAAAATCAACATATATTTATTTGTAGGTTAAACAGTCTTTACTTATTTTTTTAAATATTTAATATTAATAATAACATTAGCAAAATCACGTCTGAATATTTCTACTGAATGTCAAAGAATGTCCTTTAATAGTCTCTCGTGCATTTCTTACTTCCTTGGATACGACATTTTCATGACACTTACACGAACACATGGCAAGGCGTGATAGGCAATACAGTGCTTACGATGGTAACCTGGGTGATAGCCACCGTCAACCTCATCGTTATATTCGCTTATTACAACAAGGAGGAAAAAAAGTTTGGCAACCATAGTTTTTCTAACACTCACATCCGGTAAGCGAGTATTTTATCATCGTTCAAATGCAAAAATTATACAAGACAAATATGCTTGCACATTAACAGGTACCTTGATTCTGTTCGGAGGTTATTTAGTGTATGATATCAACCATTTGTGGCTTTTTCTGCCAACTGTTAACAGTTCCCTATTCTTTATAATGTCAGCTGTCCTGCTCATAATCTCAATTTTGGTTGAATTTGAACAGGAGGAATCGGAGACAGAATGATACGTTTGAATTGCAAAACGACAAAAAATTGTAAAGTTCAGCCTACTTAGTACAAAAAAATGTTGAAAAACTAAACATAAAGGCTTTGTCTAATTAAGAACATATAATGTCAAGTTCAGATATTGTTAAAAACTAACAACGACATTAAAAATTTATTGTTCATCAGTGGAGTGAAGCTTTTCATTAAACATGTCTAATAAAAGTTCGGTCCTTTTCTTTGAATGTTTCAAGCAGAAATTTAATTGTTCATCTGTCAGCTCACATCCGCCTGCACAACAACATAAAGTTTAAAAATGTAAAACGTAAAGTTAAAATATTATGTGAGCAAAGTAAAGTTAAAATATTCATGTGAAGAACGGTAGATTGAAATAAAGCAATAAAAATGATCAATGAAATATATCACATGAACTATTTAGTAGCACAGGCAGTAACAAATGTGGTAAATAACAGCAAATTATATTCACCAAAAGTCCCAACAAAATAATTGACTGTATTGTTTGAAAAAAAAAACATACGACGTAGACATGTTTGATAAGGTTAAACAATCCCCTGAAAACAGACCTGGCTTCTGAATGAAATATTCATCTGAATTGGCAGAGCAGACGATGGTGATTGTGCCTCTAGATAAGTCTTCTTCCTCTTTTGTCGGATCAAATAATATCAACTTGCTAAATTTCATGGAAAACGAAAAATTAACGATTAAAATTGGATTGAATATGACGAGTGTGAAAGGCATGTTTCACCTGTTCCAGAGAGCGAATGTTGTGGCAAAGAATTTGTTGGTTAGGGAAAGTTTTTTGCTCTCTTTCGTTGGTTGGTAGCTGATTTGTTCCTCTAAATCTTCACTGCCATCCTCGATTTTAGCATACATTTTTAGATTAGCTGAATAAATAAATGCCTCAGTGAATAAATTAAAAAATGAATAAGTTTAAAAAATAGAATGCAGAAAGCTCTGACTATAGTCGATAGTGATGATAAATTTTGTGTAAACTTCAAGCACACGCCTCCTCAAAAAACATGTGATTAACAACTAGATAATAAAACCACATGGCAATACAACAGAACCGATATAGAACTGACTACAACCAAAGCAGCACAGCAACAGCCAGCATGTACATTGTACATCACGTCACATCCACCAGACAGCAGTAGAACAACAACTGAACTAACTATTGGCAAGAGCAGCCATGAGAGCCAGACAGCAGGCATCGTACAGGCAGCCATCATAATCAAGGCAGACGAGTTCGCAGGTTATCGTCCATTGCATCTAATTATCAGATCAAGTTTTTATAAAACAAAGAACATACATAGAAAAGTAACTTTCTTTTAAAAAATTAGCTTCACAAAAAAAACAAATGAACAATTTCTAAATAAGAAGAAAACCTTTCCATCGCAGAAAATAAGATCTTCAGGTTTCAAACATTCAGAGCTGAAAATTTTAAGACATCATCTTTGAAGATATTTTATGAAAGCAAATAAAATATTTATAAGCGGGATCTTTGAGGTCTTAAGACCATAATTACTGGCCAAGATTTCCTTGAAGTGACTATTTTTCATAGTCAAATCTCCAGTCCAGTAAAAAACTTGTAAAACAGCTACAAAATTTAAATTAGCAGCACAATAAAGAAATGAAGAGAACTTTTTGAAAATAGTTTCCATTAAATTGTTTGCCAGCTGAGAAGGTTCAGGCAACTGATTCATTTTCACCTGCTGCGTGCTCACATGAGGAAACTCAACAGATATTTCTGGATTTTGAAAAAATGTTATCACAAAGTTTATCATCATTGGAGTCATCACCTAATCATCACCATAATCATTATAATCATTATCACCGCAATCACTCTGATATCAACTTCATTTAATAACTTATCCAAAAAAATAATTTAAAATAGCTAATACCAATATGAAAACCAGTTCATTAATAAATCAAAAATGCCTATTATATTACCCATTAAAATTTAAATATAACAATAATTAAGTTGAATCAAACTTACTAAATTCAAATGTTTCAATATAAGCATCAAATGAAATTATATAGTACTCGATGTTGTACTTAATTAAACTTATACTATAACGTACTGTAAAGGATCTCCATCAAAAACACAGATTAACATCTGATTCAAAATGAAATAAAGAAAAACAAAAAAAAAAAACAAAAAATGACTCATTGAATCTGTAGCACTTTCTCCCGATCTCACGTCAGAGACAGCCTTTGAAAATTATCAAGCATGAAATTAAAAAATTATTTAACAAAAATTAAGATAATATTAAAAAAAATAATAAATAATTAGGAAAGTATAGGCTAACCGAAACAACACCACAAATAATTTTTGTGTTGCCAATCGTAACTAAAGATGAACCATCTGCTGTTCCCAATCCACCTAACAGGAACAATTTGATTGATTTTTTATTTTTATTGAATACAAAGATTAGAAATAAAATAACATGTTTTTTGTTACCAAATAACCAGTTGGATATTTTATAATTTTATATGTTTTACTTTTAAATTTAGTTTTAAAAGGTAAAAACAAAAAGTAGAACAATGACAGTCATTTGATTTGGTTAATTAATTTAATTTAATTAATCAGTTATTTTTTTATTATTGAATTATTTAATAATCGTTAATGGCTTTTTTCAATGCACACCACTGCTGCTTCTCCTTCCCTTTTTAAATTTAAACTTTAATTAGACTAGACTATTTACTATAGACTTCTAGAGTATTTACAAAATTTAAAAATATAAATAATCTCACTTTAAAAAAAAACTTAATAAAATCGCCACTAATAATTTTAAAAATTAAATAAAAAATAAATAAATAGTTTTAAAATTTAACTAAGAAATATATTTAAGTCCGACATAAACCTAACAAGCCAACTCAAAAAAAATCTAACCAACTTCCAAATGAAGAGGACGACATTCGTCCAGTGATCTGTTATCCGGTCGCACATTTTCATCGAAAAACTTCTTATAATATTTTCTTGGAAAAACCGTTCTAAAGAAAAATGCAAAAAATTAGAACAAGCAATCCAAATTGAATTGAAAAGATTAAAAAAATTTTAGGACACTATCAAAACTAACTTAAAATCGTCCGCCATGCCGCAAGATTATTTACAAAGAACTGTAATTTTAGTAATTGTAAATTTATATCAAAAAACTCAAACCCCTCAAACCCATATATACAGAATCAATCAATCAATCAATCAATCAATCAATCAATCAATCATCTTATAAACCGCTATTTCCGCGATGTTCAATAGCGCTCCTCAATGAATTTTGCAAACAAATGTGTCTGAATTTTGTAAATGATGTAGAAGTAATCAGAGAAGAAGGTAGAGAGTGCCAGAGAAAAGGGCCAGAAAAAGCAAAAGCAGATTTAGCAAAAGGAGAAGAGTAGGATCGTCGAGAAAAGGATAAAGTATTTTTAATCTACGTAGATGAAAGCAGAATGTAAGAACTTCTGGCATCACTATTACTCTAAGAAGAAAGAAACATACTAGAATCAAAGATAAAGCCTAGATTACGAAACTTGTGAGAAACATCAAGAGTTTTGGAATCAGGTAAAATAATAGGAGGAGTAGTAATAGAATAAATTAATGGCCTGGTCATATATAGAGATTAAAACCTTGAAACCTCGATAGGGGTAACTACGAATTTTATAATTTGTGTCTTCCGGATTAAGCTGTTTGTTAGAATGAACGGATGTCTGGACCTGAAAAATTAAAATAAAATATGAATATATATAAAATAATATGATAATAATAATAATAATAACAATAATAACAATAATAATAATGGGATAACACCATGGATATAAATAATATTTATTATATCCATGGATAACACCGTCACAACCATGGATATACGTTATATATATCCATGGTCACAATTCTTTTCTTAATGTGATGACCAGATTTTATATCTTTTTCAAACTTGATTTAGTTTAGTGTTACGCTGAAAAATTCTGAAACAATTTCGATTGCGTTGAGCATGTTGTCGTCAGTTAACCAATCAGGTGGTCGGTTGATAGACGTGCATCGTGATATGTTGCTTGGCCGTCGTAAGGTCACTCCATTTGGAGCAACACTGAGGAGGTTGTTGTTGTCGTTGTTGAGAAGCGGTTGTGATTCGGGCTGCTCACTGTTTAACGTGCGGTTGCTTGACGATCGGACGGTAAGAAGAGGTAAAGCTGGTTTCGCTCCTTCGTTGTTTGCTAGCTGCTGACAAGAAGTATTAATTTGCTTAAATTTTTGTAAATCGTTGTAACTGCTGGACGCAATTTGTTTTAATTCTACGCAATCAGCAAATGATAGCCTCCTAACACGTTGCTGACTGCTTGGTGGCTGTGGTACTGACAGTTGGTAGTTGCTGTTTCGACTAGTTCTTGCGCTGTCGACGTCGTCGCTGCAATAGTTGCTGCTCGCACTGCTATGGAACGATTTGACGCTTCTTCGATCAGTTACATCGACAGCCGACAGATAAGGAGTACCCTTGTATATCTGATGACCTGACGGTGCTTTGCTCTGATTGGATTGCTCTTCAAGGGGTAAATTATCATTTCAAAATTTAAATAAGTTTCATTTAAATGTCAAAATATTCCTGTTTGATTAAAATTTGTCAAAAATTTGTAATAATATTAAAATTATTTTTGTAATCAAATTTTGCATTTAAATGCGGAAGATTAACAGGAAATTAATTACAATTTTTCTTCCGTTGTCAATGTAAAAATGCCATGACGTGCATTCGATTCTTTCATTTCAAACATTTTCATATACATAA